GGCTGAGGCAGGAGAATCGCTTGAGCCCAGGAGTTGGAGGTTGCTGTGAGCGTGATGCCATGGCACTCTACCCAGGGGGATAGCTTGAGGCTCTGTCAGGCTCCGTCTCAAAAAAGAAAAAAAAAATGTTATTTTTTGAATACTTTATGTCAGACACTGAATAAACTATGTTTACATGTGAAATCTCATGGTTCCTCTCAGGCTTTTACAGGAGGTATTATTGGCCTTGATACTAAAGTTAATTCTCAAGAAAGTTAATTTGTCCAGATACCCTAGTAAGTGGCAGAGCCTGAATTCCTGGACCTTCCGACTCCTGCGTCCTCCGCATGGGAGGGGATGGGCATCGGTAGTTTTTTGCCCCATTTGCTTCTGCATAGATCCTGGAATGGATGATAACCAGACCCGGGGCCCACACTTCAAAGAGTCTTAGAACCAGTAAAGAACGGTTGAGGATTATGACTATTTCATTGTTCTTTAACTTCTTTGTTGGGGTTAATTTAGGAGGCTTTCCACCTAATTTTTGGGCTAGAACATGTTGAATCTATAATTTTTGTGCTAAGACTGGTGATCTCAGTAAAGTATGTGGGATGTAGAAAGTATAGACATAGTGTAAAACGAGCTGCCTAGGATTGAAACTCCACACCTAGTAGTATTTCCACTACTCCTCCCTGTACTTCTGAGAGCCAAGTAGAGAAGATACCTCTGCAGGTAGGAACATCACAGAGCTGTCAGTTTCTCCAGGTGCAGTGTGGAACTGCTCCCGGCTGGAGTGTATATAGATTCTAGGGCATGGTTCTTGTGTGGATGCAGTTTGAAAAGTAAAGTCATGAATTCAGTTATAAACATCCAAAACACCATACTGTCAAATTTATGTAGGCCCCGTGTATATTCATGAGCGCCGTCAGTGGTGGTTTAATAGTAATGTACTGTGAGTAAAGGGATTTGTTCAGCAAGTGAAGCACTCGGTGTGCTGCTCCAAAATGCCTGCATAACTGAGACTAAATGGTCTTACCTTTCTTATTAACCTCATCGTTTTCACAGTTTTTTCTGTCTTGAGATATAAATCTTTTGCCTAGGTGTACTCCCAATCAGAAAATTCGAAATAAAAAGCCAAAAATAAAGTAGTTTGAATTCTTCAGTATTACCCTGTGTAGTTTAAGTCTTCATTAACTTCCAGTGGAAAAAACTGATACATTTTCTTTTTTAAGTTCAGAGGTAAGACCTTCAGGTTTTAACATTTATGCATTAACTAAATGAAATTTCTTTGCTTTTATAGGAATTCTTTTCAAAGAAGTCGGATTGTTCTTTATTCATGTTTGGTTGCCATAATAAGAAGCGGCCAAATAATCTAGTAATAGGTAAGTAAAATTGACTTTTCAGTGTTTATAGTCAGCTCTGCATCTCAGATTAACTGATAGTGTTGAAGAATCAGGAGTAAACTGAATCCTCAACTCAGTAACTTTAAATTAGCTTGGCGGGATTTTGTTTATTTTTATTTTCATTATTTTTATTTTTTTAGAGACAGAATCTCATTTTGTCGCCCTCGATAGAGTGCCATGGTGTCACAGCTCACAGCGACCTCCAGCTCCTGGACTTATGTGATTCTCTTGCCTCAGCCTCCCGAGTAGCTGGGACTACAGGCACCCACCACAACACCCGGCTATTTTTTTGTTGCAGTTTGGTCGGGGCCGGGTTTAAACCCACCACTCTTGGTATATGGGGCCAGCGCCCTACTCAATGAACCACAGATGCTGCCTAGTTTTATTTTTAGTTGTAAGTTTTAGTTTTATTTTCAACTTTGTGACATGAGTAAAAATTGTTTTTTTGGCAGTCCCCAGGTAAAGAATGGGGTATATAAGTAGTCCCCTACCAATGCAGGGAACTCTAACACAGTAAAAAGAAGATGAGAGTTCCTCAATTCAAGTTTCTTTTTTTTTTTTTTTTTGAGACAGATCTCATTCTCTCGTCCTCAGTGGAGTGCTTCAGCGTCATAGCAGACAGCAACCTCAGACTCTTGCTTCAGCCTCCTTGCCCACCACAACATTTGGCTATTTTTTTAGTTTTTATTTATTTTTTTGAGATAGAGTCTCACTATGTTTGCCCTTGGTAGAGTGCTGTGGCATTACAGCTCACAGCAACCTCAAATTCTTGGGCTTAAACCATTCTCTTGCCTCAGCCTCCCAAGTAGCTGGGACTACAAGCGCCCTCCACAATACTGGGCATTTGTTGTTGTTGTTGTTTGGCAAGCCTGGGCTGGGTTAGAACTCACCAGCCCTGGTATATGTGGCCAGCGCCCTAGCTGCTGAGCTACAGGCGCCAAGCCCACCCGGCTATAATTTTTAGAGATGGGGGCTTGCTTTTGCTCATGCTGGTCTGAAACTCCTGAGCTCAAGTAGTCCACCCGCCTCGGCCTCCCAGAGTGCTAGGATTACAGGATAATAGTGTCAGCCACTGTGCCTGGTCTGTTCAGGTTTCTTAAACCAGCACTGTCTTTTGTCTGTTGGAAGTGTGGCTTTGGGGGCTGTCAGTATCCTTCCTCAATTGTAAATGCACCACAGTCACCTTGTGGTGGCTCTGAGTGTCTCCGAGCTCACCTGTAATCATGAGTCCACTGGAATTGGGGGGGAAAATTACCCTATCTCAAGTCGTAGATATTTTGTCTAATGTGAAATATAGCCAGGTATGGTGGCTCACAACTATAGTCCCAGCACTTTAGGAGGCCAGGGTAGGAGGATTACTTGAGGCCAGGTGTTTGAAATCAGTCTGGGCAGCATAGTGAGATCCTGTCTCAACCAAAAAAAAAATTTTTTTTAAGGAGGTGGCATTTGCCAATACAACATTCCCAGCTACTTGGGTAGATGAAACAGGAGGATCACTTGAGTCCAGGAGCCCAAGAGTTTGAGGGTGCTGTGAGCTCTGATTGCATCACTGCATTCCAGTCTGGGTGATAAAGTAAGACTCTGTCTTCAAAAAATGAAATTTCTATTTAATCAATATTAGAGTTAGAAAAAAACAAAGTATCATATCTACTCACATAAATCCACCTTTTCCTAATTGGTATCTGTTGAGGAAATAACATTTAAAAAAGAGCCCTGGCCAAGGGCAGTAGCTCATGCCTATAATCCTAGTACTCTGGGAGGCCTTGTCAGAAGGATTACTTGAAATTAGGAGTTTGAGACCAGCCCGAGCCAGAGTAAGACCCTGCTTCTACTAAAAATAGAAAAATTAGCTGGGTGTTGTGATACTTGTCTGTAGTCCCAGCTACTTGGGGGCTGCGGCAGGAGGATGGCTAAAGCCCAGGAGGTTGCTATGAGCTGGGCTGACCACAGCACGTTAGCCTGGGGAACAGAGTGAGACTGTCTCAAAGAAATAAAGAAAAAAACTCTTCCCTGGTGTAGTAAGACTTGGTCTGGCATGCTTACTGGCTTGGGCAAGCCCTTTCCTCTCTAGGGTCTTCATTTAGTCTAGTATTAAAGTAAAGGAGGGGGCTAACTCTCTTAAGATCCTTTTCATGACTGTCCTAACAGTCTCTTTGGGCATGTTTCAGGGGTGCACAGTGAGGAAGGGAAGAAGCAGACATTAGAACACTTTGAACATACAGATACAAATGGGTACATGTGAGGGAACGGACACATGGGTACATGGCTATTTGAGGAAAATACAGGCTTAAAAATGCATTTTTCTTCTAGGTCGTATGTATGACTATCATGTGCTGGATATGATTGAATTAGGTATTGACAAGTTTGTCTCTCTAAAAGACATTAAGGTAAGAAGTACTGCTAATAAAAAGGAAAAGCATTTTGTAATGCTACTCTTGGCCAAGAGTGACATCTTGTGGTGATGAGTTCTTGTAGAGTTTTATAGATAAAGAACTTTATTTTTATTTTGGCATTTTCTAAGATAAAAATAAAATTTAATTTTACCTTTATTTTTTTTTTTTTCTATTTTGAGAGAGAGTCTAACTTTGTTACCCTCGGTAGAGTGCCATGGCATCATAGCTTACAGCAACCTCAAACTCTTGGACTCAAGTAATCCTCTTGCCTCAGCTTCCTGAGTAGCTGGAACTACAGGCAACCACCACAACACCCAGCTATTATTTTATTTTTTTTGAGACAGAGCCTCAAGCTGTTGCCCTGGGTAGAGTACTATGGCATCATAGCTCACAGCAACCTCCAACTCCTGGGCTCAATCGATTCTCCTGCCTCAGCCTCTCAAGTAGCTGGGACTACAGGCTCCCCCCACAATGCCAGGCTATTTTTTTGGTTGCAGCCATTGTTTGGCGGGCCCAGGCTGGATTCGAACCCACTAGCTCAGGTGTTACGTGGCTGGCACCTTAGCTGCTTGAGCCACAAGTGCTGAGCCTACATTTATTTTAAAAAGAAGAATATATGTATAGTGTATAATAACATATGCAGGTCCTATGGCATTTAGTGTACTTGTTAGTTCTTGTTTAGGCCATAGTTTAAATGCCGTTCTCTCTCTCTGAATTAGCACACCTATATTATAGAACTCCAGAAATATCAGTAGAATTTTCAAATTGAGCCCTTGTTCAAAGCTCTGGGTAATCTTGCGGTATTTGGGCCGTTAGCCACCAAATTGCAGCTTCATATCCCCTTGGTTACTTTATGCATCCTTGTGTCTCCTTTGTTTGAATGAGATTGTGAAATAGAAAGCACTAAATGGTAGGAAAAATAGTCTTTGTTTGAGACAGTCTTGCTCTGTTGCCTGGGCTAAAGTGGATAGAGTATGGTAGTGTCATCATAGCTCACTGCGTCTCAAACTTCTGGGTTCCAATGATCCTGCTGCCTCAGTCTCCTAAGTAGCTGCGATTACAGGCATATGTCATCATGCCCAGCTATTTTCTTCTTTTTTTATGTAGAGACAGAATCTTACTATGTTGCCCAGGTTGGTTTCCAACTCCTGTCCTTAAGTATCCTTCTGCCTCCACTTCTCCAAGTGATTACAGGCATCAGCCACGGTGGCTGGTCTAAAAATAGTTTCAGAAAGGCAGAGAGAGTGTTCTAACTCAGCTTCTGGGTCCAAATTTGGCTCTTGTTCCCTTAGAACTCTGCTTCTGGCTTAATGATCTCATTTATCATTTTACCCAGACCTTGTAGCTTCCCTGTGGAAGGCCAGAATAATTTTTCGCATTACATAGATTCATAGATCAAGTACCTGAGGGGTTTCACTGGTGACCCAGAGTCAGACTTATGGTGAATTTAACCAAGATTAGGACTCAAGGGCTTTGAGAGAAGGGATCTTGTTTTAATGGAAAGTTATGTAATTGTTCTCAGTTTATGGCGTTTGGAGACTGATGGTATAGTTAAATTAGCTGTATACATAATCCCTCCTTTTCCCAGTCTCCCTTTAAAAGGGGGATATACTTTCCAAGTTTGGTAGAATTCCTAAAATTAATATCCTTATCCTGTGGGTTTGAAATAAGCTCTTAGCAGATCCCCGTTATTTAGTCAGTCACACCAGCTTCCTCAGGTACAGGCAGAACACTGGCCTGAGAATGGATTCGAGACAGAACATTCCAGTTTGAGGCCTGTCTTCCAGTTTGAGGCCTGTCTTGTCCATTTGTGACCTGACAAGTCAGTGACTTCCTTGACCCTCAGTTGCGATGATGTATAAAACAAGCGCAACTACGTCAAATGAGACAGTATGTATGAAAATGCCTATCAGTGAAGACAGTGTGTTAGAAGGTTCTGTAAAGTGTGTAAACTGTGATGCTTGATCACAGTGGAAGCCATCGTACTGTGACAGTTTCTCTCTGGGGTTGCAGGAATGCCTGGAGATGGGCAGCATGTCTGCATTTGACCTTTACCACTACTGCCAGCTCGGTCCCCAGCTCAGTGGGTGTGAACAAAGGCTGTTGCCAGCCCTTCTACCTGTTCTGGTTCACTTCCAAAGCAGTGAAAGACTTGTCACTATGCAACTTCAAAACTGGACCACAGGCTGGGCACGGTGGCTTACACCTTTCATCCTAGGGATTACAGGAAGGCCAAGGCTGGTGGGTTGCTTGAGGTCAGAAGTTCGAGACCAGCCTGAGCCAGAGTGAGACCCCATCTCTACAAAAGATAGAAAAACTAGCTGGGCATTGTGGTGCATCTGTAGTCCCAGCTGACTTAGCTGGGACTGGACCACAAAACCTTTCTTGTTTGTCAGGTCTCGTTGTTTTTGTTGTTGTCGTTGTTTGAGACAGAGTCATGAGAAGCTTAGGCCAATACATATTCTCCTTCCTCCATAAATTAATCTCTCAGTAAAGAATTTTTTTCTATTTGACTTTTTTCACAATTCTATTTTTTTTGTCACTTCTTTAGTGACTTCTAAATCCTTTGATTATTCACCTCACATTCTAATTGAGATTAAAAAAAAATCTAAAACTAATGGGCAAACATTTTTTATAGTAAAAACTTCAACCCCTCTGAATAATGATTGACTCAGACTTTCTGTAGCTTGTATAAAATTATAATGTTTCTTAGACCCCATCTCTTCTAAAGTAGAAAAATTTGATTGGGTGCACTGGCTCACGCCTGTAATCTCTGAGCACAAGCAAGACCTTGTTTCTAAAAGGAAAAAAAATTAGCTGGGCATTGTGGTGGGCGCCTATAGTCCCACCTACTCGGGAGGCTGAGGCAAGAGGATTGCTTGAGCCCAAGAGTTAGAGGTTGCTGTAAGCTGTGATGCCACGGCACTCTACCAAAGGCGACAAAGTGAGACGCTGTCTCAAAAAAAACCCCGAACAATCTGTAAGCTTAAAAATCCTACCTCTGTTTTTAAGTCTAAAATCATTATTTGCAGACATAATTTTAGAACAGTTAATAAATGTGAAAACAAATTCCTATATGTGAGTATTGACTACTTTAAAATCAGCATATAAATAGTTTAGACTTTGATAATCATATAATTATATTTTCTTTTAATTTCATAGAACAGTAAATGTCCAGAGGGAACAAAACCCATGTTAATATTTGCTGGTGATGATTTTGATTTAACAGAAGACTACAGAAGACTAAAAAATCTTCTCATTGGTAAGTTTTTTTCTTTTCTTTTTTCTTTTTTTGAGAAACAATGTCTTGCTCTGTTGTTCTGGCTAGAGTACAGTGGCCTAATCATAACTCACTGCGGGCTTAAGCGTGTAGGCTTAAGCAAACCTCCTGCCTCAGCCTCTTGAGTAGCTGGGACTGTAGGCAGGCAGTCAGGCCTGGTTAATTTTTTTTATTATTTTGTAGAGAGAGGTTCTTGCTATGTCGCTCAGACAGGTCTTGAACTCCTAGCCTTAAGCCATTCCCCCTCCATGGCCTCCCCAAAGTACTGGGATGTTAGGTACGAGCTATGATGCTTAGCCTGGTATTTTAATATTTATTCTAATCTGCAGGGTAGCTGAGGTGGGCAGTCTAAGCCTGACATTGGTGGCACTTTGCTACTTTACTCTGGGCCTATAACTTTCTCTTTTTTTCTTTTGGATCTCTTCTTTTTTCCCTTTTTGTTATTTTCTCCCCACCATCAGGAGGAAGGTACCTGTCTTGGTAGAGTTAAAGGGGCTTTTGTGCTCTGTGGATGATTATTTTTGATGCCTTAGTACTGTAGGTATCATCTGTTTATAGAGTGCTTTACACTGTGTAAAGTGCTTGCATCCATCTCTTACCATTACTGGCATCATTATTTTAAATTTAGGGAATTGAAAAGTAGAAATTTCAAGAATGTGATGCATCATCACTTCCAACTCAGAAACCTCTATTGGTGTTTTTGTTGGTTTTTTTTTCCTTTGCAGTTTTTGGCCATGGCTGGTCTTGAACCCCCCACTTCCAGTATATGGAACCAGTGCCCCACTCCTTGAGCCACAGGCACCGCCCTTTTTTTTGAGACAGATTCTTTTTTTTTGAGACAGAGCCTCAAGCTGTCCCCCTAGGTAGAGTGCTGTGGCATCACAGCTCACAGCA